TGACCGATTACAGTCGAATTCGAGGAGAATAATCGACTATGATTCGTCCATTTCTTATGGCTTAAGGGGATGCTAAAATTGTCCTACTTCACCTCATTTTCATTTGGTGAAAAATCTCCGAATTGGATTTACGGATTGCAAAATTATTAGTACAGAATTAAAGTACGCACAAACAAGACCTCAGCTGCGCTGGATTTCATGAGAAAATCGAAAAAAGTTTAAAATTCGTTAAAAATTCACTTACTTTTGGCTCATACAGTTGCCATCTGAGGTATATATTTGCTTGATATAAGAGTTTTATAGTATATCCACATCTTGAAAATAAACATGCAACTGAGGTCACGTTACTGGTTATAAGGTTCAAAACAGAGATACGGTTTTTTAACGGAATAAAAATATTGTGTATAGTTTGATATGTGTATAGTTTGAATCTGCTTAACTGCCAAATCGTAGAGCTCTATTCAATAATCAATCAGCTCTATTTATATTACTTAATTTAAAAAAAAAATAATTAAAAATTTTCTTCTCGGTTTTTCTTTACATAATAGTACAATTTTGGCTTTAAGGGAATCCTAAAGCCATCTGTATTACCGACTAAATCATATAATTTTTTTGTACAACAAATATTTTTTTTTCTCTTTCACAGATTCGAAAATCCTTTTCCAGGATTACAGTATATGCATTAATACGTGTTTGTGAGGTGGAGTTTATGCCGAGAACGACCAAAAATTTTAAAATTGATATATTTTTTACCATTTCTTAGTGTAGCGTCTCAAGCTATCAAGTCGTGACAACATTTGCTTGATACGAAAGTTTTGCAACCTATACTTACGAAATAGTGATCCACAAACACGTAGTTTGCACGAACAAATAACGTCGAGTTCTTATAGACTTAGACGCTTTATCGCAACGAATTTGTTATGCGACAATTGATACGAACGTACGACTGCGTGTATCATAGGTTGTGTTCCGTCGCGACTAGATACCTGTCGAGAACGAGCAGACGGAATAGAGCGCGCTGTGCAAGCGGCCGCTCGTCTGCTGCGCATAGCGGCGGCTCATGCTACTACGTATGTTCATAGAGAACGTTTCAGCCCCGCCATTGTGTGGTTAACCTCGAGGACGGCGATAGAATCGCACTTGCAAGATTTCAGAGGTTTTTCTTTGTCTCAAGACATTCGTCCATTCGAATAACTGGGAGAGCTCGAGAGGAAACTGGGCGCCTCAGGTAAGAGAGAGGGCCGGAATATTTCCGCGAGCAGCGTGACTCGAGTCGGCGCGCGGGTTTCGTCATACGTAACGGCACGCGACTATACGTCCCCTTCTAGTTTTTCGCCCGTCCGTCTCAGTCAAACGGGGCTTGATAGGTTTCAAGCGATGCCTGTCCGTCTCAGTCAAACAGGGCTTGATAGATTTCAAGCGATGCCCGTCCGTCTCAGTCCAACGGGGCTTGATAGGTTTCAAGTGATGCCCGTCCGTCTCTAGAAAGAATAGGTGTTACGGTGACTCGCAGATCACCACTGATTAAAATCCTGTAACGATTTAAATATAATTATGATTTTATCGTGAACAAGTGATTTCCTTCAGAGAGCATCCCCACCATCCCGATCCTCTTTTATTGTTCTCATCCGAACATTTTCTGGTCCTTCGAGCCGGATCGCGGGTGTGGTAAGGGATTCGCTCTGAAGTGTGAACTGAAGATGGTCGACGAACGGTTCGGCAAGTGCCGCCAGTCGTCGTCAGATTGGTCAATGTGAACTAATTCTCAATATTTTTCAGGTTATGTATATGTTTCTTAGAAACTGAGAGAGCCACGAAAATTAAGAGTCATTGTGCGTACAATGGATAATCTACGGTCTCAGATCACGATACAAATGAATCGTTTTCTAATGATTCAGAACGCGGCGGAAGGCGCGTCTGAAGATGTCTCCAATGCGCGATCTCGGCATTTGATGAGTACTCGGCTCGAGATCTTGGAGGCCAATTGGGCCAAGTTTCAAACGGCTCACGAGCAACTACGAGGTCTGTTCAAAAAGTATCGCGAATTTTGAATTTCCGCGGGTTACGTATATTCGATTTTCGATTTTTTTGTGGCGTTATGTTAGTACTCATGTCTCTCACTTATGCCGACAAGTTCGGCCATTTTGAATGTTCAGTTAATTTTTGACAGCTGCTTTGCTTGCACGTGTTTTGGCTCGTCTTCGATTTTTGCCTTCGATTGCAGGGGCGTGGTGCATCATGAGTTCTTGCCACAGGGTAGAACGGTCAATAAGGAATATTACCTGCAAGTTATGCGCAATTTGCGCGAAACAATCCGCTAGAAACGCCCGGATTTGTGGAAGAACAAAAATTGGCTTTTGCACCATGATAACGCCCCTGCTCACACATCGTTGCTTGTGCGTGAATTTTTGGCCAAAAACAACACACTAATGATGCCGCAGCCACCGTATTCTCCAGATTTGGCCCCCTGTGACTTTTTCTTGTTCCCGAAACTGAAGAGGCCCATGAAAGGACGACGCTACGCTACGATTGAGGAGATAAAGACGGCATCGAAGGAGGAGCTGAACAAGATCACAAAAAAATGATTTTTTGAAGTGCTTTGAGGATTGGAAAAAACGTTGGCACAAGTGTATAATATCTGATGGGGATTACTTTGAAGGGGACAAAATAGATATTCATGAATAAATAAATAATTTTTGAAAAAACACAAAATTCGCGATACTTTTTGAACAGACCTCGTATGTCAAATGAGCATGGAAAGCTTCCATGAGGAGGCCTATATTAAGCACTGGACATACGAGCGATGTCAAGAATTCTACATACAGGCGCGAGCCATACTGCTTGAGCAGCAAAAGACGGCGGATGCCTCTAATCCCAGCTCACGGCAATCGGACAATTGTACCGGAAGCGCGTCCTGGTGGCTTTCGAGTGCGCTTGCCCAAGATTAGCTTGCCATCTTTCGCTGGCGATTATATTGCTTGGAGATCTTTTCATGATCTTTTCACAACAATGGTTGTCAACAACAACGATCTGACGAACGTCGAAAGGATGCATTATTTGAAGACGTGTCTTAAAGGTGATGCTGCAAAACTCATCACGAATCTTAAGGTGACAGACGATACCTTCTTCATTGCTTGGAAGACTCTAGTAACTCGTTACGAGAATAAGCGGGTGCTTATTTCCGCGCAGTTAGATAAGCTATTCGGATTGAAATCCATCAAATCAAGATCAGTGAAAGAACTTAATACCATGTTAGCCACGGTTACTGCAGCACTTGGAGCTCTTGAGGCTTTGGATTGTAATACCAACTCGTGGGACCCGTTCTTAGTGTACCTTGTAGCACGTCTATTGGATGCCGACACTCGTGAGGCGTGGGAGGTGAGATTGGGTCCGTCCATGTTTTATCCGACGTTCAAGGAGTTCGAAGATTTTTTGACCGGGCACACGAGAGCATGGGAAAGCTTGACTCCCACCTTAGTCAAACCAAGTAAAGAAAAGAATCGGTCGTCTTGGCCGCTAAACAAGCCCGAAGCTAAGTCTCGTGGTCTGATAGCGTCAGCTTCCTCGGCTACAGGTGAACAGAGGTGCCGTTTATATAAGTCAAACCATTACTTGTCAAATTGTCCTACTTATCTGTCTCAATCGGTTGATCGCCGCAAACATACACTCTTTAAATTGAATCTGTGCTTCAATTGTTTGGGAAAGCACACAGCTAACTCATGCCCAAGTTCTCGCGGCTGTAGGAGATGCCATCAGAGGCATCACACGACGATACATAGTGATCGCAAGCCGTCGGTAGGATCGGCGACTAAAACGGTCTCGGATTCGCCTATTAATGACAATCAGCCTTCTAATCCCTCAAAATGACTAGGACGTATGGCCGGTTATGGTGAATGCGTCAATAACCCCAGGCCGTTTATTATACTTGCCACTTGTCAGGTGAAAATAAGGGGTTACGACGGCCAATCTATACAGGTACGTGCACTGTTGGATCCTGGATCCGAGTTGTCATTTGTAACTGAGGAGTCGATCCGTTTATTGGGAGTGCCTCGCATGCACGCTACCATTCCATTGATCAGCATTGGCGAAATATATTCAGGACGTACCAGAGGCTCGGTTAACGTTACTCTTTATTCTGTGATATATAGTTCAGTCTCTTATATGTTGCATGCATTTATTCTGCCGCGATTAACATCTCAGCTGTCATCTTTTGAAGTAGCAATGGAGTCGTGGACTCATTTTAGACATCTTGAACTTGCGGATCCAAATTTCGGGAAACCTGGACCAATTCACGTGATTATTGGCGCGGACGTATGGTCAAATCATTAAACCCGGATTATTACAAGACAATTCATCAACGCTTATTGCGCAATCGATATTCGGTTGGGTTGTGTCTGGACCCGTCGCGTCTAACACTCATAAACGCGATGGAGAAATTTATCATTGCATGATCAATCGCGATTTGCAAGATCTTTTAACTTATTTCTGGAAGCAAGAGGAAATTCCGAAATCAAACGCGAATGTTTTAAACCCTGACGAAGCGTACTGTGAGGAACATTTTCTCTCCACTTTTTCTCGCGATCGCGACGGCCGATACACGGTCCGACTTCCCTTGAAGTCATCACCAGCCCTATTAGGGGCTTCAGATTTCATAGCACTTCGTTACTTGACGCAACTCCGTTTGAAAGAGAACCTAACCCTCCTATTGTCAATTATATACGAATTTTCTATGAGAGTACCAGTCCTTAGGACATATGACACCTGTAAGGGAGTCGGAGATAAATGATTCTCCCGTATTTTACCTACCGCACCATGGAGTGTGGCGCGAAAACAGCCAATCAACTAAGATCCGGATAGTCTTCAATGGGTCTAATCCTGCCAGTAACGGCGTGGCACTTAACGAGATCTTGCATGCAGGCGCCGAACTGCAGACCAATCTTTTTGATGTTTTGTTATGATTTCGGTCTCATAGATACGTTTTTTCAACGGATATTACTAAAATGTATCGACAGATCTCAATTCATAAGGATGATCGTAACTTGCAACGCATCCTCTGGTACGATTCTCAAGGTCAGATTCAACCATATCAGCTTATCATATCAGCTTACGGTAACGTACGGGCTCCATTCTTGGCTCTTCGCGTTTTACAACAGCTTATCGTTGATGATGGTTATCGGTCCCCAAAGGCTATACCCGCGCTAACCAAGAGAAGGTACGTAGATGATATCTTCGGAGGTGCCGAATCGATTGACGAAACGAGGGAAATAATAACTCAAGTAGTACATCTTTGCATGGCGGGCGGATTCCCTTTACAAAAGTGGAGTAGCAATTGCGCGGAGTTGCTTGATGACTTGGCAGCATCGCCTGGCTTCAATGCGCCCTCTGTGAAATTGGAATCCCCTCGGGTCAAGGTATTAGGCCTTTGTTGGCATCCACACTTGAACACCTTTACGTACGAATCGGTTCCGTCTCCTCATCAAAATATCACAAAGAGATCTATTTTGTCTGAGACAGCGCAATTATATGACCCTTTGGGCCTTATTGCACCAGTGTTAATACGAGCAAAGATTCCGATCCAGGAACTTTGGTTGTTGAGAATACAATGGGATAGTCCCTTACCTCCTGAACTGCAGGATCAGTGGTCGGCATTCAAACAACAATTACTGACTCTTAACAATTTTAACATCCCTCGATGGCTTAACACTTCATCAACCGTTCTTTCCATCCAGTTGCATGGATTCTCTGACGCGTCTCAACTCGCAATGGCAGCGGTAGTGTATCTTAGGGTCGAAACTCCAAACACCGAAATTCAGATCAATATTGTTTGCGCCAGAACGAAGGTTGCACCGTTGAAGAAACCGTGCTTCGTCTTGAGCTAAACGCCGCATTGATGCTGACCCGTCTTATCGTCTCCGTACGGGATGCCTTAGCTTTAGAAGGTAATTCAATCTTTCTTTGGACTGACTCGTCCGTCGTCCTCACTTGGGTTTCATCTCACCCCGCGAGATGAAAGGATTATGTCCGTAATGTCGAGTGACGATTATGCAGGAAATATTACCCTCCGCTACATGGCGTTTGGTCCCAGGCAAGAAAAATCCCGCCGATTGTGCGTCTAGAGGACTAAGCGTCCCCGATCTTGTGGAGCATTCGTTGTGGTGGTCAGGGCCTCCGTGGTTGTGTCAGGCGTCGGACGGTTGGCCTAACATGAACACCATTTCCGTTGCCAACAAGAACTTGGAAGAAAGGTCAAATCAGATACTTACCTCGCGTCACAATAACCAGTTCATTCCATGGGATCTCCTGGAGCGTTACTCTTCTCTTACTAAGCTTTTCAGAATCACAACCCTTTGCAAACGCATGATCAGCCGCCTTCAGCGCCAGACTTCAGCATCTTTGAGGGAGCCCCTCACTCCCGCGGAACTTGTATGGAGTCGTCAATTTTGGATAGGCTAAGTGTAACAGAGTCACTTTTCGCATGACATCACGATATTATCGAGAGAAGGAAATTTGCCTAAATCCAATCCTTTGCTTCGGCTCACGCCATATGTGGATGAGGTAGGTGTCCTTCGTGTAGGTGGGTGGTTACGGCACGCTCCTCTGGAAACGGATGTTAAGCATCCATTCATTCTACCCAAGCTCTCACATCTCACGACTCTAGTGATCGCTGACGCTCATGTTCGAACTCTGCATGGTGGAACTCAGGTCACGTTGGCGTATACCCGCCAATAGTATTGGATTCTAGATGGACGATCTCCAGTCCGCGCCTTCATTCTTAGATGCATGAAATGCGCCCGATACAGACATCTGCCTAGCTGGCCCCCCCACCTAACCAAATCTTAATGAAAAAATTATGGAATAATGCGCTATTTATGCGCTATTCATATCCGCAAACAAAAATTTTTGCGCTCCTTCCGTTTAGCTAAAAAAAAAAATTTTTTGTGGGGGGGCTGAGTAGGCAGTCAGTCAGCCCCCCCACCCATTAAAAATAATTGATTTGCAAAATTAAATACACAGGATTTATACGCTATTTATGCGCTACTATTTCCAAGCGTTTTCGATTTTTGCGCTGCAACCCTTAAGGCACTTCCCTCTTGGAGCAAACAGACATATTAACGCTTAAGTCGTTTAAAATTGCAAAATTAAATACTCTGACTATGGATAATAATTCTCTGATTTATGCGCTACTATTTCCAAGCGTTTTCGATTTTTGCGCTGCAACCCTTAAGGCACTTCCCTCTTGGAGCAAACAGACATATTAACAGACATATAACACATCAAACTTCGGAATAGGGTACTAAATTAGCACCTAATTAGCACTAAATTTTTGACCTATTCCGAATTTGATTTTCGATGGTGGGGGGTCCAGCTTAATAGAGGTCTTACATATAATAAATTATTTCCCAACTTGAAATGTCGATAAAAACCACCGCTAGATGGTGAAAACTAAAATTCATAATTCGAAAAATCAAATTTGGATGTGGATATAATAAGGCATACATCGGAAAATTATTTTACATCCTTAAAGAATTAATTTTGCAATTTTAAACGATTTAAGGGTGAATATGTCTGTTTGCTCCAAGAGGGAAGTGCCTTAAGGGTTGCAGCGCAAAAATCGAAAACGCTTGGAAATAGTAGCGCATAAATCAGAGAATTATTATGCATAGTCAGAGTATTTAATTTTGCAATTTTAAACGA